ATTCTGTTTCTGTGGCTGGGTGGGAAATCTGCCTGTTAGGACTCGTAAAAATCTGCTCTACTACAGGCCCAAAAGCTCTCCCAGGAGGCAGGGGCCCAGGTTTGAGGACACTTCTCTAAGGATTGGTAACTCTTCTGATTTAACTCTAGTCCTTATCTCATGCTGTAGACATTTGATATTGAGAAGAAATGCTCTGTGGAGAGAGAAAGTATTTCCATGTTAACCATGCTGACCATACTTAGGCAAAGGCCAATGTGTAGGTACAGTGTTAAAGAAGGAAATATTTGGATATTTACAGGGACAGGACTAAGGGGGAAAAAATGAAAGCTCTTGATAATGCACAGAAACTAGTAAAATAAAGACCATAGGTAGCTAGGAAGGGATCTGAACAGTGGCCAACATCTCTGAGAGCAACCTGCCACACAGATGTTTAAACATTACACTGTTTGCTAGTTGTTTTATGTAAAGCAAAGGTTTAATACATAAATACTTAAGAATTGACAAACTAAAAGACTACAGCATCAAATCAACTCTAAATAATAATGTCCCTGTATTTTAAGCTGGTGAAATTTAAAACACCATTATAAGCAGAATTCTATGCTGATAAGATGAATGTTGAAATTCATTGCAACTGTGGCCATGATTAATCATGTATAAGTAATCATGTGCAAGTTTAATATTGCATCTTAGGGTAAGCCTACTTCCTTAACATCTCTTTTCTACTGAGTTACATGCACTATGCTAAGGGCCAAAGAATTTCTTAGCTCATCCAAATCTATGGGTTTGCTTAAAAAAAGAGTCTGACAGCTTAACCAAAATATAAAATTATGAAGTAGAATTAGAACAGTATTTACGAATATGAGTTAACATTATCATATCCTTACATTTATTAGACCAGAGTTTCTATAATTATGAAAGAATATATTCCCAAATATTGTTTTATAAATTTCATGATGCAGAATAAAAAACCTCTATGCCATTCAATACTCATTTTAAGTGTAATTTTATTCTACTGTGATAACTAAAAAAGGAATGCCAGATCTTTATGCCAAAAAGAAAACTCTCACTAAACACACATTAATCAAATGTCATGCCTGTAGTTTTTTTCTAATCCCATAGCTAATGCAGAAAGTCAATAAAAATATAAAGGAATGTGGTACTTGCATTGTAATTAAAATGCACAAATTCACAGTGTATGAAAAATGTCAATGGTAGAGTGCTGCCCCCAAGTGGCACAATGATAAATTGCAATACCCTGATGGAAAATAGCTATTCCTATTTCTCAATAGCTATTTCCTATTTCTTTGATTAAATCTAAAAATGCATATTACATAAACTTAGATTTCACATGGGCTATTAATAAGTGTCCTATGGACCATCTCTCGACTCATGGTATATCCAAGTCACTCTTTTAACTAGGGATACCAAGACATAGTCTGGTATATAAGGTTATGATACACTTTCCTTGTAATCTCAAAAGATTAGGGGTGTGGAGTCAGATCTACTCTGATCTATTAAGGGAACAGCATTCAAAACATCATAGAAATCTTTTTAGAAAGTATTATTTTCTACCCATCTCTGACATTAACCAATTCCCTATGTTTATGGCCTAATATGTAAAGCACGATTTAAAACCTTATCTAATCAAATTGCTTGGCGAATGGGTGGTACTAATTAATGTGCTTTGCTCACAAACTCAAGATTCAACTGTCAACACTCTGGGGAAAGAATCTAAAAAAAAATGAGTTTAATTTTCTGCTTCTGTACATGTATTAAACATAATCACTGATGAGTTGCTATCTTATGTAGCTAAAAGGCCAACATTCTGAGGATCAGTTGCTTTTGGACAGTCATAGAGATAAAAAAAGAAGAGATGACAACAGAATTGCTACAATCTCAAGAAAGATCCCTGAATAAGATTTTAAAATCACATGCTTGAGATCAGATTGCTCTGAGAGATTTCTCTCTTAAAAGTAGAATGCAAAAGAAAAACTTCCACTTAATAGAGAGTGCCAAATGCAGTTATTGGGTGGTGACTAGATAAAGTTTTATTAGGCTTCCTTTAATTATTCCTTTAACTTGGATTATTTACAAATAAAATGAATCTCAACTGCTATTGAATGATATCCATAAGGTAATATGAAAATATTCTATATTTTACACAACTATTTACAAATAAATTTTTACCTATTTATAAGTACATCTTATATTTATATATTATGTAATCTTTATTATATAATTATCTATTTATCTTGATGTCTTATACATACATAGATATCTTATTTAACCCTATTACAATCCTAGGAAGTATTACATCCATCTTACAGATAAGAAAACTAAAGCTCAGATTAGGAAACTGCATAACCTTAATCTTATAGTTAAGAACAAGACTGGCGGGTGTTATGCACAAACAATGAATCATGGACCACTACATCAAAAACTAATGATGTAATGTATGGTGATTAACATAACAATAAAAAAATTTTTTAAATTTTAAAAAATAAAAAAAAAAGAACAAGACTGGCTTTACATCTTGACCTGTTCACCTCCAAAGGCTGTGGTCTTAACTGTGACAAGTTACAGCCCTCCTTCTAGCATTCTAGGATTTTGTGAGCAGCCATAGCCATGATTCTTCATGATTTTAGCAGAGAGTTCTAAAATCAACTGATCTAAAATCAAATGTCTACAAAGACAGGCAGGTAGTAGAAAGGTGTGATACAGCTGCGTATAAGAGACAGTGAAGAGTAGCAGCATGTGGCTAATTAAAGAGCACAGGGTCTAACTAAAGGGGGTGGCTGCTACCCACCTCCAGCCCATGTGTTAGCAAATGTCAGCAAATCTTTTGGTTTGTATTTTTCCCCAAGAGAAATGAAAAGCTCGATTTTTACGACACTGCCCTTTTAAAATACTAGCAACTAATTTAGACTAAAAAAGAAACACTATTCAGGCCAAACAAAACCCATCTGAAGGCTAAACGTAGCCTGTATGTAATATGTTGTAGAGATTCTGATGATGATGATTCTTTTTCAAGAGATTCTACACTAGACTTCCTGGTATCAAATAATTTGTCAATTATCCTCACTATTGGATTCATTCCACACACCTAGGCTTCATCTGCCATATTCAGCTCAAGTTAGGTGTTTTCAGAGTAGTAGTGCAAGTACAGGAAAAGTTATTGACAAATCACTTCCCAGCCAACCAGCCCCTTCCTCTCTCACTTCTCGCCCCCTGACCCCCAACACCTACACACTTTACTCACCCACCATGTCAAGTCTAAGGCTTTCAAGTTTGGTCTTCATATATATTATTTTGCATCCCTTTGTTCAACTTTTTAGCCCACCTGTGAATTTTCTTAAAATTCTTCACATTCCTCACTCACTGAGGAAACCAAAATTAGATATAGTCTTTATGATCAGGGGTGGAAGCAGAAAAATGTTCACCTTTAGCCCAGAGGCTGACCTATAGCCTGCATAGTTTCAATAAAGATAAAATACATACTGGCTGCCACATTCTTTTTTTTTTTTTATCTTGCAAAAGTAGTTTTACAAGTAGAAATTCAAAGAAAACATTTATGATCTAATGCTCCCTGCGCATCCCCTCCCCCTTGAGCACTAACCATAAAACCACCAGCTTCATACAGCAATGTGCAGCTCTTTCAGCCCTCGGGTCCTAACCCTGTGCTATAATAAAAGCACCTTTTTGCACCGAAAATGTCTCAAGAATTCTTGACCATTTGCTTCTGGCCCCACATCACTTACAATGCGACTTTTACACATTCTGGGTCAGATTTAGGTCTTACTCTCAATGTTCCATAAAGGTACTCTAGTAATTTTCAGAAATTTATCATCCTGTTCTACATGGCTGGAATCATACTTCTAGGATTTATGGAGAAGAATTCTTTTTGATAGGAGTCATGAAGCATGCTCTAAGGACACCAGAAAAGTGCCAGCACTGTCACTATTCATGTAGGAATTTATTGAAAACTATGAATTCTAGATAATTACTTTTTAAACTTCTGGATATAGAGACCATTTAAAAAGTTGATTTTGAAAATAAAATAATAGCATCAACATTTACCTTTATAATTCCTATGTAATGTTAAGAAGTAGAAAATGTTTATCACATTGATTTTAAATCCAATGGGCAGAAGCTGAAAGAATTTAGAGTAGCCTCAAAACCTCTGAAAAAAAGAATAGATTATGGGATGGAAGTCTGTTCTTCTGGAGTTAAGGGCTGATGTCTTGGATCATTCTTCCTTCTGCTTTCTATTTTTCCTGTGTTTCTGATGTACAAGTTTCTCATCTGAACTTCAATTCCAACTAACTTTTCACTGTAGCACATTCAAACAACTTCAAGCTAGAAAGGAAGATTCATCCTTATCATACCAACCAACAGCATTATGAGTTTTTCTCTACTATGAAAGTTTAAGGGTCCGATCAAAATCAAAGAAAAGGAAGTAACAAGAGGGTCCTCAATATTATTAAGCTAATTTTAGATGGAGCCCCTGTTTGGTTTAAATGTCTAATTTGTGAGCTGTATGACTACAGACTTTGAAAAATTCCTTCATAGAAGCAAAAAGAAATTAATACCATATTTCCCTTAGTACACCCCATTCACCTCTAGTATGAATTACCATTTATTTGCATTTCATAACATTTTTAAAATTGCCATCATTATAAACAATTCTTACTTTCTCATTCAAGAAGTCCCAATCAAGTTAAGTGGAAGCGATGTAATTGAGACTCTGGGGTGCATAAAAATAATATTTTCACTTCATCTATCCCATTTCCCTTTTCTAGGTCATTTGGGTACTTCACTCACCTGCTGAAATGCTTTTAAAAATCTTATCTGAAGACACCATTCAAGAAGCTTTTCTTTCACTTACTAAATTCTTAGAATCTTGAAAGCAAAGAGCAAATGGTACTCCATGTTCTTAATCAGCTAAGAGCTACACATACAGGGCAGCCAACTCAAAATTTGTATGAAGTATTTTTACTTACAATTCCTCTCCTTGTTTTGCTTTCTTGTCTGAAACCAGATAGACAGTTCCAAAACTTCCACTACCAAGTTTTTGTTGAAGCACGTATCTTCTTGCAATCAAGGTCTTTGGATAAGTAGAAATGGCTATTGATCCATTCGCACACTTAGCAGCCTCTTGGAATTTCAGCATTGCTCCAAACAAGAGAGAACTGGCTTATTTGTATATAGAAATTTAACATTCAAGTCTCCTAGAAGATGGCCAAATTCATCCAAGTAGCTTCGGTCAATCCTTTAAAAGTGAAAAGACCAGAGATCAGGTCTAAAGAATGCTGAAGTATTCCTAACAATAGGTGTAAGTTTTTGACATTGATACCTGCACCTTGAATAGTGGATTCAATGACACCATATTTAAAGACTTGAGAGAAAATTGTTAAAAGGTAGTGATACTGGCAGATTCTAGTAGAAGACAGTCTTTCCACAAGAAGAGAGCCTTCCCTGGGGCACCTGGGTGGCTCAGTTGTTAAGCATCTGCCTTTGACTCAGGTCCTGATCCCAGGGTCCTGGGATCAAGCCCCACACCGGGCTCCCTGCTCAGCGGGAAGCCTGCTTCTCCCTCTCCCACTCCCCCTGCTTGTGTTCCCTCTCTCGCTGTCTCTCTCTCTCTCTCTCTCTGTCAAATGAATAAATAAAATCTCAAAAAACAAAAAAACAAAAAAAGGAGAGAGCCTTCCCTCATACATCCAAATATGGCAAAAGTGAGTTACAGTTAAACAATCTGTTTAAGATTTATACTCCCCACCTACTTCTTAAAAAAATCCAAATATAAGAACACTATAATTTCCTTAAATTTATACATTTGCATCAATCTTTTTGTAATTCTTCCCACCTTATGTCTGTTTTGATTAACAAATAGTGAGTTCGGATTAAACTAGAAATTAGCATAGAATTTTTTCTGTAGGCATTAAACCATGGTATTTGCATTTATTAGAATAGATGTGAAGAGGAATAAAGATTTCAGAATTTTTTTCCCATCCTAAACAAATTCTGGTCCAGTTTCTGAAGTTATTATACACACTGTGTATAGAGTAATCACTCTGGATTGGAAACAAGAAGTGTGCAAATGCGGTTCAAACCACAAATTGTATTTTATGATAGTTGAATATAAATGTGTTATAATTCCTCAAGGAACTATAAATATACAGGATTATGAAAAGTAGGAGTGCTTCATATGAGTGTATGCCCAGTAAAATCACTTTTATTTCATCAAAATGTAAAATGTTTTGTTAGTTATCATGAAAAGTGGGTTTTGTTTAAAGTCTAAGAAAACATGATTTTAAATTGAAGACTGTCTATGCCTTGGAGTCAAGTTCCCATATTCAACTATTCCAAAGCTATAACACAAAAACTTATTGTGTATAATGATAAAACAAGATGCTATCTGTGTAGTTTGGGGTAAATGAACAACAAGCTTCACATGGTGGTGACAATTACAAAAATCTTCAAATTTAAGCATAAACAGTAAATGTCCATTTACAGCATTTTTCTTCTTGATATAATGCATTAATCAGTTAAGTTTTACCTGATGCCAGTGAGAAGTATTCTAGTAACCAGCCTTAAAAAAAAAAACTTAAAAAGAGGGGTGTGCCTTGCTGGTTCAGTGGGTAGAGCATGCCACTCTTGATATAGGAGTTGTGCGTTTGAGCCCCTACGTCGGGTGTGGAGATTACTTAAAATAAAATCTTAAAAAAAGGGAAGAAAGAAACCAAATCATCTGGTGGCTATGAGCTCATACTAAACAACATTAGCATTGGGTTGGAACTTCAGAGCTGGGGCCCATACCTCAAAACCTCTGAATAAATAAAAAATTATGTCAGAATATCAAGATCACAGAAAATACTAGTGGAATCTACTATTGAAAAAACAACTGGAGAGCAGGCCTCTACATGTATATTTTGTTTGCTTTCTGTGCTCCCATAAAAGTGCTACTTTCTGGCCAAATTAAGGTGTTAAGAAAAATATATGGACTCAGCCTTTTCAACCGAAAAGAAACCTTCCGATCACCCAGTAATTTTCCTTATTTTAGGGATGAGATAACGGTCCCTGTTTAGTGAAGGACAGAACAGTTCTGAGAAGTCCAATTTTCCAGGGACTCCTATTTGTAAATGAGCTTTTAAACCCAGCAATGTCATCTACGCAGTCTGGCCAGGCCCTCGGAGTACTTTGGGACTAGGTTCCCAGGCTCAGCCCTGCCACCCCCTTCCCCAGTCCACCTTTAGGCCATCGATTCCATTAATCTGCTCTGTGCAACCACAGAGCTACCCTAGTAGGTCACCTGCCATCTAGATTCTAGAACTATCTGTTCGTTTGTCAACGTTCCCTCGCCCCCACCTCATGAAGGTTGTGAATGAAGTTGAGCGCCAGGAACACACCCTATCTTTGTATCCTTGGCTCCCGTCAGAGTGGGTGTTCAATACGGTTTGTTAAGGCAAACAAGCGTCCAGCAGACCGACTGTTGCCCAAAGGAGGGGAAAAAAGGGGGGGGGGTGGTGAGAGGAGGGAAGAGAAGATTTAGAAAGTTGGATGGGCACCGTGAGAAAGGTGAGAGATTACCTCCTGCAAACTGACCCTTGGAGGTAAAACTAGCGGGTTGGGGGCAAAAGGCAAGGGAAGGAGAGTGTATCACAGGTTGAAGTCAAGTAGTTCTCTCACTGGTAATAAATGAGAAGAAGCAAATTTGACACCAGATTCTGCTAAAGTAGAACGCTAACCTTAAAGGTCTAACGAACATTCCTTGCCTCAACTACTTTTTTTAAAAAAAATAACATTTTCGCAAAGCGGGTTAACCTATATGGAGAGGCGCCGGCAACACTGATTCCCCGGAGACTGGAGCAGATCCGGGAGGAAAGGAGCTGAGGGAAGTGAAGAGGTCGCGGGCATGGAGGCCCACTGATGCGGATCCCGGCTGGGGCAGCCTGAAGCCATCACCTTCCCCCGCTTCGGGGAGCCCGGCACGCCCCGAGGAGCGCCCTTCGCCTTTCGCATACCTTTAGGTGTCGAGGGCTGAGGAGCGGCGGCCGGGACACGCCCACAGCCCCACCAGTAATTGGGACGTATGTTGGGCAGGTCTCACGTAGGTGCAGTCGAGCCGCCGAGCTCCAGGACCTCCCGGCACCGCTGTTGGGCGCCGTTGCCAGGGAGACAGCGTGGGGCATGCTGGGAAGCCTGAGCGAGGCGGCCCCGTGCGGGTCACCGAGGCGGAAGTGTGCGCCGACCCAAGTGGGCGGGGAAAGACGATCAGGCTCGAGCGGCCTGGCTTTCCTAACCTGACAGCCGCCATTTCGGAGCTTACTTCCCGGCCCTCCTTTAGCGACCTCGAGCCTCCAGGCCCGGGAGCACCTGCTCCCGGCGCAGTCTGGCACCACTGGCTTCATGGAACCGAGCTTCCCAGTGACGTCATACCCGCAGACTTCCGGTTCCCGCTCTTGAGGTTGGAGTCTCACGTGCGGGCGTTTCCAGCAGTGGCTCCCGCAGTCTTTTAATGGAAGGGCTGGTGCTCTGGGAGGAAGATGCAGGTGGGCTCTGCTGCTGGTCCGGGTAGCGAGTTGTAAGGGTTGTGGTGGCGTGATGTATGAAGGCCTGTGTTTGACGACTAACATCAGACCTTTTGTGCGCCTTTCTCCTATCCAGCTCGCATTTGTTCAACAACTGTTGTTGCAAGGTCCTGTAATTGGTTTAGGATGAGTTGACATGGCCTCTGTTCGCATAAGCTTTACAAGACATAAATAACTGCTCTGCCGGATAAAGTGCTGAGGGTTGGGCTAAAATTAGGGTGAAATGAGTTGGGCGCAAAATGCAAGAGGGTACCCCAAAAGTTTGTAATCAAGATAAATATATTTTAATGCAATATATTTAAAAATTAAAGTTAATGCAAAAGAAATCCATGATTGACAAAATCTCATGGTTTTAAATAAAGAGAGTGCCATGCTGAGCCATACTGGAGTGTGAAGCCAACGGAAAAGCTAGTAACACACATCCTGTGACTTAAGTTAGCCAGATAAGGAACTATATATTCTTGGTACTGAACCAGATATGCAAAGACAAGAAAATGGAAAGAGCCTCTGGTTAGGGTGAAACTGGAGAGTAAGCTCCTGCGTGCTTATGAAGCAGTAATTTTCCTTACTCAAAACTGTGCCAATTAAGATGGGACCTAACACAAGCCAAGGCCTAAAGGAAATTCCCAGACTCTGATTGTCAATAAAGAAAAACTGGATCCATATCATTGACCCTATACACTTTCGTTAACTGAAGCCCAGTGCTCTCTGATTTATTAATTATGAGATTGAGGAGGGTATCATTTTTATAGTTTAGGACTTTTTATTTTGGCCCTACACAAATATTCTGTGTTGCAAGATGGTGACCGTTACCTATCTCAATATCAGAGTCCACAGTAGTCTCTATTAGTAGGTCAGTAATGGACTTCAACTGATTTTCTTTTAGAACTAACAGCCTCCATCCCTATCCAGAGATTAAACTCCATGAAACCATTGCATTTGTGCCTTGTTACACATGGGGAGAGCTGCTTGAGCACCTAGGTAAGAATTGAGATGCTAACACCTAATATGTTCTGTTTAAAGAGCTGTTCATAATATTTGCTGTTGGGTTTGTGGTGCTGGAAATGATGACTTGGTCCACAGTAAACAGCATCAATTGAAAGTGTGTTTTGTTGTTCTAAACAGGCAGTTCTTCAGTCATCATGGGTATTCGAGGACTAATGAGTTTTGTGGAAGATCATAGTAATGAGTTCTTCATTGATTTGAAGTTGCGAGACACAAAAATTGTCATTGATGGCTATGCTCTCTTCCATCGGCTTTGCTTCAACTCAAACTTGGAACTTCGGTATGGAGGGGACTATGATTCTTTTGCAGATGTTGCACAAAAATTCTTTGAATCACTGTTTGCTTGTAATATCTGTCCATATGTTGTATTAGATGGAGGATGTGACATTTCTGATAAAAAGCTTAAAACTTTAAAGGATCGAGCTAGAGAGAAGATCCAGATGGCTCATTCCCTTTCTGTTGGTGGGGGTGGGTATGTGTGTCCCTTACTCATCCGGGAAGTGTTCATACAGGTTTTGGTCAAGCTACAGGTGTGTTTTGTCCAGTGCTTTTCAGAAGCAGATCGGGACATTATGACATTGGCTAATCATTGGAATTGCCCTGTGTTATCATCAGATAGTGACTTTTGCATCTTTGACCTAAAAACTGGGTTTTGCCCATTGAATAGCTTTCAGTGGAGAAATGTGAACACTATCAAAGGCACACAAGACTGCTATATCCCTGCCAAGTGCTTTTCCCTTGATGCACTCTGCCGTCATTTCAGCAATATGAATAAAGCTCTACTGCCTCTCTTTGCGGTGCTATGTGGAAATGATCATATTAATCTGCCCATCATAGAGACATTCTTAAGTAAAGTACGTCTTCCTCTTGGAGCTACCAGTTCTAAGGGGAGGAGACATCACCGAGTTTGGGGACTTCTGAATTGGTTATCTCATTTTGCCAACCCTACTGAAGCACTGGATAATGTTCTGGAATATCTCCCCAAAAAGGATCGTGAAAATGTTAAGGAAATTCTCTGCTGTACCATGGAAGAATACAAGCAATCTCAGGTGAAGCTGCAGGACTTTTTCCAGTATGGTACTTACGCCTGTCCAGCCGCCTTGAATCTGGATTTACCAGAATGGGTATTAGTGGCTTTGGCCAAAGGCCAGCTATCTCCTTTCATCAGCGATGCTTTGGTGCTAAGAAGGACCATTCTTCACACACAGGTGGAAAATATGCAGCAACCAAATGCCCACAGAGTATCTCTGCCCATCCGGCAAATCATCTATGGGCTTCTTTTGAATGCCTCTCCACATCTGGAAAATATGTCCTGGAATGCATTGCCTTCTCAGCCTCTAGCTTTCAGCGAAATGGAAAGGATTAATAAAAATATCAAAACATCGATTGTTAATGCAGTAGAACTGTCCAAGGATCATTCTGACTTAAGCAAATTGACTGAGGTAAGTGTAACACTAATTTTTGTAAAGCATCTTACAGGTTAAAAAGTGCTTTCATGTGCATATTCTCTCTCTTAATGTAACCAAATGAGGTTGGTTGCTCTAGTCCCCCCATTCATAGCCGAGAAAACTAGGACTCAAAGTAGGTTACTGTGTGATATGTCAGCCAGAGAGTTGCAGTCAAACCCAGGTTTTTAGCCCCAGATCTGCCATTTCCAGTCTACTTCAGTAGTCTGTGTTATTTTGCAGTTATTACTACTACTCTGTTGATAACTAGCCGTTAATAAATTGGGGTCATGTGCCTTTAGAAAAAAAGAAAAAATTCTGAGCTGCAAAAAGAAGTGTGCCTTGAAGATACTGATCATAGGCATAATGAATATCTTAGACTGCATCAGATTTCAATTAAGATTAATATTAATGCTTGGGTCTAATTTTTCATTTTACCGGTGAGGATCTTTTTCTTAGGCTTTAGGTTTACAGCATTATGATGATTAGTTTGATATTGAAATTATGATTCTTAGCCTAACTCAGTGTTGTTTAAACCTGAGTAACTCTCAAACCAATCCACTTTTCAAGGTAAAAAATAATTTATGGATCCCAGTGTTTATTGTTTGTAATATTCCATAAATATATTAAAAATTATAAATAGAGGGGCACCTAGGTGACTCAGTCAGTTAAGCATCTGACTCTTGATTTCAGCTCCAGTCATGATCTCAGGGTCCTGAGATCGAGCCCTGAGAAGGGCTCTGCACTGGGTATGGAACCTGAACCTGCTCAAGATTCTCTGCCCCTCCCTGCTCACATCCTTGCTTGGGCTCACTCTCTCTCTCTCAGAAAAATTATAAATATGAAACTGCTAATGCTAACACAATTAAATTTACAAATTAAATGCAGATAAACACCAATTGCAGTGCCTATTGAGAGTTTTCTTAAATTCAACTAATATTCAGATTCATGAGACTCTCATAGACCATTCCTGGTGGGTCTACTCAAGCATGTAGGACAGCAGCCGTAGCTTCCCAGCAGTTTGAATCAGGATTTTCTTTCTTGTGGAAGTTTTTGCAACAGTTTCCACCAATGGTTCTCCACTGGGATGATTTGTCCCCCTACCTCCCACAGGGGACATTTGGCAATGTCTGGAGACACTTTGGATTATCACTACTTAGGTGGTTGGGGGAGGGAGGGGCCAAGCATGCTGCTGAACATCTTAAAATGCACCGGACAGCTCCCCCAAGAACAAAGCATTATCCAGCCCAAAATGTAGTAATGCCAATAGCTGGCTTACTCTGTTGGCTAGGGACTAAATTCTTTAATCTCCCCACTAGTGCTAGCTCAGGCAGGAGGAAATGAGATCCACATCAGGTGGGTATCAGTGCCTCCTTAGCAATGAGGAATGACTGCTAATGGGAACAGTGTTTCTTTTGGGGGGTGCTGAAATATTCTGGAATTAGTGATGGTTGCACAAGCTTATAAATACACTAAAATCAGTTTAGGGTTTCAGAGGGCAGGGGGTTGGGGAGATGGGGTAACAGGGTAACGGGTATTAAGGAGGGCACGTGTTGTGATGAGCACTGGGTGTTATATGCAACTAATGAATCACTGAACGCTACATGAAAAACTAATGATGTACTACACAGTGGCTGACCATAAAAAAATTAAAATTAAAATAAAAGGGTGAATTTATAACATGTGAATTATATCTCAGTTAAAGAAAGAAAAGGTCTCACTGGCCTCCTTCCCCCTCCTTTTTTGTAACAATTCCATAAACATAGCTTCCAGGCTCCCTGAAGGGCCATGCCTAATTATAGGTCACTGTGCTCAATGAAGCCCCATGATATGATGTCCCCATCTGGTGTTTACAGTTCATTTATAGTTCAAATCTAGATGCAGTTTTACAAGAGTCATTATTACCATGCTAAGTAAAACAACTTTATCACGTTTCCAGGGTTACAGAAGTAGAAAGTTGAGCATAGGTCAAATTCCAAACAGAAGGGATTAAAACTTTACCCATACCAATAAAATTGAAATTAGCAACATTTTAAATGATGGTATTTTGTTAAAATTATTTCTCCTTACAACATAAATGGTGCTGTGTTGGAGAGTTTTTCAAACTTTTTATACGGGCACCTGGGTGGCTCAGTAGTTAAGCATCTGCCTTCGGCTCAGGTCATGATCCCAGGGTCCTGGGATCGAGCCCCTCACCGGGCTCCCTGCTCTGCAGGAAGCCTGCTTCTCCCTCTCCCACTCCCCCTGCTTGTGTTCCCTCTCTCACTATATCTCTGGCAAATAAAATCTTAAAAAAAAAAAAGTTTATGGCTTTATCGAGAAATGACGTACAGTGGAAGTGCCCATATTAAAGTGTGCGTTTTGATGAGTATGAATGTATGCATCACTCCTAAAAGTTTCCCCTTGCCTCTTGGCAATTCATCCCTCCCTGAGTATGTACACATAGCAAAGTACACAGACGATTGTACAGCTTGATGAATTTTCACCAACTCGACACTTCCATGTAAAAAACACCCAGATGAAGACACATTATCAGCACCCCAACAGCTTTTCCTAATGTCTGGTTGAAGCATCCCCTCTCCCACCTCCTGTAATCACTATCCAGACCTGTAATAACATTGAATAGTTTTAACTTTTTATATCTTATAAAAATGGGATATGAGTTCTCTCATCTGGCTTCTTTTATTCAGCATGTTTGTGAGATTCACATCACTGTGAGAAGCTGTAGATCATTTATATCTCATTGCTGTGTGGGAATACACCACAGTTGACTTACCCATTTTGCAGGTGATGGGCATTTGGGTAGTTTGCAGTTTGGGCAATTATGAATAGTGCTATGAACATTCTGATGCACATGATTTATTGAAAATATGGACACATTTCTATTGCATATACCACTAGGACTGGCAGTTAGGTCAGAAGATACGCGTCTGTTCAGTTTGTAAGATACATGGCCAGTGGTCTTCCAAGGTGGTTTAACCAATTAATCCCACCAGCAGCTTATGAGGGTTCCTCTTAATTTACTCCCTTCCTGGCACTTTTTTATGCTTTAAAATTTTTTTTAGCTGTTCTGTTTGTATAGTGGCATCATTTTAGCCAGTTTGGTGGGGGTTAATTTGCATTTCTCCGATGACTTATTTGAGCACCTTTTGTGTGTCCATTGGCCATTTGGATATTGTTAGATAATTTTTTCAGTCTTTTGCCCATTTTTCTGTTGGCTTTCTGTTTCTATATATGGGTCCTTTGTCAAATGACATCTAAACAGACTCACATTCTGTAGGTTCTTTTCACTCTAGTATGTTTTGATGAACAAGTTTTTAATATAGCCCAATTTTTTTATTATTTATGATTATCATTTTCTGGGACCTACTTAGAAAATTACTGCCTACTTCAAGGTCATGACAGTTTTTTTTGCCTTTCATATTTAGATCTGTGGTCTATCTACAACTGATTTTTTGTGTATGGTGTGACATAGGGATCAGGACACGTTTTCCCCCATATAAAAATCCAGTTGAGTCAATGAGTGTAGCATGCTGATTATACTCCTTGCTAAGCGGAGATGACAAGTGTTCTCATCACTTACCTGTATTCAAAATAGTGTGAAATTCTAGTTCACTTTCTGTGTGGTGAGATCTTTTGGTTTTCCCTAGACATAAACTCATCAATTCTGTATTTAGCTCAGTGTTGCTAACTCTAATTAGCCCATGATAATCCTAAATGGTATCAGGTGCAAATGTGATTCCAAAGACAAATGCAGGTATACAAACAGAAATTTTGTGATAGTTATCTGTTCACTTGGAGGTAGTAATAATACTTGATCTGCCTTGTGCCAGCTGTTGTAATAGAAACTTTATACTTATTTAATTCCCACAGTAACCACATAGGGTAGGGTTTCCATTTTGGTATGTTAGTTGCAGTGGATAGAGCTCCGCTCAAGTTAACCAATGAGAGGTTAATCATAAGGAGAGATGGAAGTGGATTATTCTTTGGGAGTAAGACAGTGCCAAGACCAGCCTCTCTCTGGGTGTGTCTTGTTTCTCTGTGGGGTTTTCTTCTACACGTTGGTGCTTTCCTTCGCCTCTGGGTAAGGGAAAGGAGTTGTCACATGGGATAAAACCTAACCAGATTTAAGGGTTGTGAGCAGAGCAGTTCCTCTTTTGGAAGGGGCTGAGAACTGGTGGATTTCATGAAAAATCTTGTGTAATTCATTATAAGCCCATTTACAGATAATCAGACTGACTGTAGAAAAGCTCAAACTTGCCCAGTGCTGTACAGTGAGAGACAGAACACCTCTAAAGTCAAAGCCCAAACTCCACTTTGTTCATAAAAGTTGTAACTTGGCTAGAGAATCCAGTAATTTAAGCATTGTATATCAGAAAAGAATTCATGTTTAGCTTTACTTGGTGTGCTTTCCTACCAGTTGAGATCATAGTTTTTGTTTTACTCTAAATTTAAGTAGTTAATTGCTACTTCCCATAGGAGTGATTGATTATACTGTAAAGCATTTTGCATATTTCTAATTTTAAAAAGCTTATCAGTATCAAAATTTTAAAACCAGTGTTTATAAATAATTATGTTTAATACTGTCATGCATCAGTGATGAAACTATTTTGATGTGTTTTATTTCAGGTTAACATGTCCATTCCCAGCTGTCAACATGATTGACTACAAACTAGGTTTTAGATGCTGAGCAATTGTTTCATCCTTTCAGAAAAGTTAAGAAAGAAATCATTTTCTGGCTGTATGTAGACACTAGGAATACAACTCTTTTCTCTCTCTCGAAGTTTGATCATAAAGTTCTTCTGAAGGTGCCCTTTTAATGGTCCTAATTTCCTTATTTGTAGAAGTGTGTGATCCTAAAGGTCCCTTACGGTTCTTAAGTTTCATTAAGATAAAGTTATTTCAAGAAGCCTGAAACCCTCATAGCTGTTAACTTTTATTTGAAATGCACTCTAAAGCATGGATTAAAAGTGAGTGCGGTGTGTTATTGCAAGCACAGTGAGGTAGTCCTTAAATATTACCATCTCCCTTGAATATCTCTCTCACCTACAAGCAGCTACCCTGGAACAATCCGTGTGGGAAAACAAAAAGATAATAAAACATTGACCTGGGTAGGGACATGAGACAGGACCCAAACAAACAGAAGCTTGTATGATATGCATATAATCTAAGTTTGCCTTCTAGAGGTGATCGGTAATGGTACCATGAAGAAGGTGGGGCCTCAATATTCACTGACAAGTAAGAGTAGGGTTAAGTATAGATCTTTGTTTCTCAAAGCAGAATAGTTAAAATTCAGATTCCTGGGTTCCTCGCATATTTACTGAATCAAAATTTAGGGGGTGGGACCTGAGGACTGAATTTCTTAACAAGATGTTCACCAGCCTACATGGAGGATGGAATGACATGAGCAAGGGCTGTGTAGTGAGGGTAGACAATATATCCATTCAACCATATTTATTAAGCACCCAGTGTTTTAAATGCTTTGAATGTGGCTGATTTCTTTCCACAGGAAGATGATAAACTGACAGAGCAATTCATTTGCATTAAATTCTCTTCATACTAGGGGAAAAAAAAAACAAAAACAACAAAACAGACATTCCCCAGAGTAACTTGGAGGATGTTTGGTATGTATTTTCAGCTGTCCCTGGCCAAACGGCAGATACTTCTGTTAGACACCCTGAAGGTGAAACGGACCATCCTGGAATCAATCCCTTCTTCACTGAAGCTGCCCATTTCTGTCAGTTGCTACTGGTTGCAGCACACAGAGTCCAAGGCAAAGCTACATCACCTGCAGGCCTTACTGCTAGGGATGCTGATGGGGCCCTTGCATGCCATAATAACCAGCCCTGGTAAGTATCTGGAAATTCCAGGAGTATATATTTGCATGTTACTTGCATATAATCAAGTTTAAAGAAATGAAAAAAAATTCTGGATTATTTACTCCCATCAGTTATATCCAGAACTTAGGAAGAGGCACTCAAATAGCACTCATTCATTGGCAGATGTTTTTGAGCACTTGTGTATGCCAGGCTCTGTGCTGCAGAGCTTGACTACAACAGCACAGCAGTGAAGATGTGCTGATACTGCCTAATCCCACCTGCTCTGTGGCACCTAATGCTTTAATCTATGAAGTGTGAATGTATAATGTGCCAGTTATATTCTGTATTCCGTGTACCCTGGCCCTATCAATAGAGTGGCAACATCATCACTAGAAACCGATTTAAAATTGTCCATTGGTGAAACTTCTGAATACCTACAACTATAATAAACATTCATGCTTGTTTTTTTTTTTTTTTTACTTTTTCTCCACTGTAAGTTTCAATTAGTGTGTTAGTGATGGTAGAAATAGTAACTTTTCTTTCTATAATAGAAATATACTTTAAGGCAGTTTCAGCTGCATTCAAGTATCAGGTGAAATAAATGAGGATGCATTGGAGCACTTCAATTCTCTAGTGGAATTACTCCCTTTAAAAGATTATGAATGCTTTAACACTTTATCTAAACATGTATAATCATTGTCACACTCCAAAACAGTGCTAACATCTAATCTAATGGCTGCTAGTAACGTGTGGCTATTTAAATTAAAACTTCAGCTTCTCCTTGACACCAGGCACATTTCAAGTGCTCAGTAGCCACATATGGCTAGAGGCTGAATTGGACAGCACAGATACAGAACATTTCCATCACTGCTGAAAGTTCTGGTGCATAGTGCTGCTCTGGAGTTTACTTTTTAAAATAAGTTAAATGAGAGTGAACTAGTCTAGATTCCAGGACCCCCAAGTGTGAGAGTAGTTGTCAGAAGGCACTATTGTTCTAGGACAGCCAACTTAATGCCAAACAAGTTAAGGCCCACTATTAAGTTTTCTCTCATTGAATAATAACTGTAGTTTAAGAACATTCTCAGGGCACAAGCCTGGGAAGTTTTTACCTGAGTCCAACAGAAGGGGCATGTCAAGGGTCTGTTTCTTTTCTTTTAGGAATTGTGGACCCCGCACCCAGGCAGGCTCAGTGCCTTGCTGCTCGCTAATTGGTAAAAGGTGGGCCTCCTTTTTCTTACTTTCCAGTTGGTCCAGTATCATTTTGTATGCCCCTGCACAAGCAAACGTGCAGAAGCTTACAGTTGAACGCACGCAGCACTCTTCGCTTCCTAGGGTTGTTGCTTCTTGCCTCTTATCCTCTGTGTGTGAAGTAGATGACTGACCATATTCTCCTTGAGTCATGCTTTTGTTTTCCTCCCACAAAGCAGAAGTTAAAGTGTGCTTTGAACACAGAGGCTGTGTTAAGTGCACTATAGAATAGGCGCCTCCATGGAAGGAAACTTAGTGAACGAGAACAGTGAAGAGAATGATATTTAATAGTAATTTGTATTTTTCAGAGAGACAGATTTAAGGTTTGGAGAGTTCAGATGCAGATGTGTTTAAGGTCAGGTAGGAAACCAGTGGAAGAGATATTATTTTAAGGAAAAAAAATAAGTACTTTGGGGTTGAATAAAGTTAAGAGGTTGTCATTAAAAAGGCATTTCAGTATAAATATTTCAATTTACACAGCAAGGCTTTCACATTGACATTAAAATAGTAAAGAGCCAGAAGAGAAAAGCATTTTGGTTATTTAAACTAATTTTTTTTCTTTATGGAATTCAAAGTCCTATATATAGAGAGAAAATTACAAGCTATACAGTGTTTTTGGCAATACTGCCCTTGGGTTGTTTCTTTGTCTAGATAAGGAAGATCTGCGGGAAGATGGTGCTAGGATGCTGTATGAAGAATTCCAAAGAGTGAAGGAGCAGACGCGGCCGGGCACGAGACTGGACTTAGACACAGCTCACATCTTCTGTCAGTGGCAGTGCTGTCTGCAGATGGGGATGTATCTCAATCAGCTGCTGTCCACTCCTCTCCCGGAACCAGACCTAACTCGGTAAGCACCACGGGAAACTAGTTCAGATGGCTGCACACAGAAGTAAATACTTTTATTTATACTTAAAGCACATTAAGTTATGTTTAAAAAACTAATCTTAGTATAATTGGTCTTGGATCACTATTATAGCTGAAGATCTAGAAACAGGAGAAATACTAATTTTTTCCATACTCCCAAAAAGTTTCCATGATTAGATCAAAGATTAAAAAACCAGCCCCTTAAAGTAAAAAAAGAGGCAATTGGTAGGATATAACTCATTCCTTCATTTCTCTCAGGTCTTTATTCAAATACCACTTTATTAAGGCTTTTTCTGATTACCCTTCTAGAATATTATTCTCTACTTCCAGTCACTCTAGTCCTATTACTCTTTTGGATTTTTGTAAATTCCATTTCTTACCACTTGGCATACTGTTCACATACTCAAATATTTATTAAATGCCTACTCTGTGCTAGAGTGTAGTGAACATTTTTTTTTTTTTTTAATTTCTGTTGTCATGGAGCTTTTATTTTAGTGAGATGACTATTATGAGATGCTTCAGTGAACTTTATCTCGGGTTTTTGTTTTGCCAGGTAAGTATGAAGAAGGGAGAGGCAGCCTGTTGCCAGGAAGTGATTATGTTGGACTATGGAGTTGAAGCTGGATAAGAAAGATAGCAGTAGAGTGTGGGCCAGTGAAAAAGTGCTACATTCAGTGGATTGGGACATCTGGTGATTGCCCATCCAGGAAATCCAGAGGGAGGAAGATAAAGGGGAGTTAGCAAATGGAGCTGAGATTATAGATATGCTTTGTCTCTCCCCACTTGAATGTAAGCTCTGTGAGGACAGGGACTTAGCTATTTTATTTACTTTTGTAGCCCCAGGGCCTAACATATAGTAAGTACTCAAATATTTGTCAAATAAATGAGTGATATATGAATGGAAGCATATAAAATATGCTGCTGTGACTTTAAATGTTTTAAGGTATAAATCTTCCTAAGCAGTAAATATTGTTAATACGTCCCTGGGCCTAATATCTGAGCTAACCCTAGAACCTACTACCAATAAGATTAATTGGCCTTTGACCAATGGATTCTTTATGCCTTTCCTTAAATAATTTAGGTCATTCTTGACTGGATCCTCTCTAGGTACCACAAATCCCTTTACAACAGAACAGAGAAAAAACAAGACCAAACAGTTCTCTTCATGATTTCAACAGGACTGTTCTTGCATCTCAGCATTACTAGAGCTTATTAAATGATGATCTTACACTGATTAAATGATGGTTCTATATCAGTTGCTAAGGCACCAGTTGATCAACTCTGACATTAAGTTATATATTAAATTTGTGGCTTCCAGTTAATCCCAACTTATATTTCTGAAGTAGGTTCTCAGTGCAAGTGAATCAGTGAACTTGCAAATGATGCCACTAAATTTTCTCATATTTCAACAGACGGCCTATTTGGTTTATCGGACATTTTTAATTCCTTTTCTTTGAAGTGTTAAGAGGCCTGCTCAACTTTTGGTTGGTTGCAGAACTAGCAAGCATCTATCATTTTTTGATAATAAAGTTTTTAAATATCCTCAGCCACCTTTTTAATAACAGCTCCATTCCTTCCTTCAAGGAACAGGTTTTTTTTAAGTAATTTTAATAATAATTTTATAGAAGCAAGAAGAATTCTCAATGTTTAGCTGCATTTGTTGAAGCCAATGTTAATGACTGTTGTCTCTGCACCGAACCTATGCTTTACCAACACACTTTTCTCTCCCGTTGAACAGACTCTATAGTGGAAGCCTGGTGCATGGACTATGCCAACAACTGCTAACATCAACTTCTGTAGAAAGTCTCCTGAGCATGTGCCCTGAGGCAAAGCAACTATATGAACATCTGTTCAATGCCACAAGGTCATATGCCCCTGCTGAATTATTCCTACCAAAGGGTAAATCAAATTCAAAAAAAAGAAGGCAAAAGAAACACAGTACCAGCTGGTCAAAGAACAGAGTGGGAACCACCTCAGACACTAGATGCTTGTATGAGGGAAGCAATCGTTTTGGGCTATTAATGGTTGAAAACTTGGAGGAACAAATTGAGGTCTCAGAGCTTGATTAAACTCAGTCTGCAACCAGATGTATAATTCTTAAAACTTTTGTTACCTCCCTTGAAATGATTAACTTTTATTTAGAATCTGTTAGGGAATAAACATTGTAAGAGGCAACCTTTGAATCCCAAGGTATTTTGTATTCTGCTTTTAATAAATACAACCTGATTTAAGAAACTTCTGTATTTTCTTAAACACACTTGAAAGCATGTTTGTACTTCTTATGTTCCATTTCAGAAAGTCCATAACCTTTACATTGCAGCAATTCAGCCAGCTTTGTTTCCAAAAAGAACAGAAGTCCTACTTCAATTACGTCCTATATATAAGCAGAAGCTGGGTTATTATTTTAAAACATTTATTTTTTCTCAACTGTTTCCTCTTCATCCTTTATTCTGAAAGGTCTGAGGCCTTGGAAGAGAAAAGTGAGGGTGCCAGAGAGAAAGTAAACACCTTTAAGTACTAGGAAAATGAGACCATGGCAGGCTTAGGAACACTTTACATGCTCCAGGTTTTAAAGCAGAAGTTAAAACTGTAATGGCTCCAACAAGTTAAGAAATAGCATCCTGAGCTCCTAGATCTAGAAGAGAAGGAGGAAACACTATGAAAAAATTAGATTAGTGATATATGCAGCAATACCAGAATCTTAGGCCATTTTTTCTACTGCAGGTATTGACCCATTAATGGCATATGAAATTAATGAGTCATAACCAGCATTTTTTAAGTAGAAATCATCAGACATGCATATCATATATTAAATGGTTATGCAAAATGTATTTCTTACTGTGGATTGCAGTCAAAAGACTTTGAAAGGCACTGCTCTGGAACATATTAAAGGCTGCTAAAATTATAAGTACCAACAGAATTGTGAAAGTGCTGGCCAGTTCCAAATAAAGAACTTGAAAAGTAAGCAAGTGGAATAAATCTAATTGGGCAAGATCTAGAGATCTGGAGGTAGATTCCCAACCTTTATTTTATTTGCATTCATACAAATTGTTATTTCCTTTCTTCTGTAGTCTCTCACTGGTATATTCCATCAGTGAGAACCTTAAAAATGGTTTTAAGCTACCATTCTGAACAGGCCTATGTTCAGTTCCTAACATCTGGCAAACAAGTCTCTCTACCTTCCTAGTGAGAACCATACTCTTAGAGGAGTAAGCTCAGCGTCAGCCAGTGTTATATACACACCTTCCAAGTGTTGACTGGCAAAAACACAATCTTACTTGTTCCTAAAGTTTTCAGCCCTAAAGACTGGCTTTTGTTTCAAATAAATAGTTCTTGAAATAAGGAAATTTTTATTTTAGGAGGAGTGCATGGGGCTCTGTACTAAAGTTCTTTTTATGTCTCTAGAGAGAAGGTTATTCACAGAAGAACCAAAAACAGTCATATGCTCTATTTTTGATATGTGTTTTTCCAGCAAATAGTAAATCTAATGGAGACTACAAGCACATTAAGTCCTTTGTTGTATCAAAATTCTCTTTTTCTTGATTCCTGCAGTTAGAGTCCAATCTGGAAATTACACCAGCATGAATGTCCTATTTCCTGGCTTTACTCTCAACACTGCTTTTGCAAACCACCAACCTTGCAGGAAAAACTATTTCTACTTCCACTCTGGCATATAACTGGTTTCACAGGCACCTAACTGAAGGGTGTATGGGCTACAGAGTTTAATTAAAAGTCAACTGAATTATATCACTCATGTTTTCTTTCATTAAAGAGTTTTTCAAGCAAAGGGGCCCCTCCTTCAGTAGACACTGAAGTCAGGTTCCCTTCTCTAACCATTGCAATCAGGGCCATTTACTTGAAATTACCCAGCCTTGCAGTGAAGGAGTTAAAATCTAATAATGTCCATTTACTTTTACTCTCTGAGAATTAAGGAGTTACCCCACCCCATTATAGATCTTCTCCTGGATGTATAAATGAGAGATCATAAGCACTCCACAAGCTATCTGAGGGGTTTACCAAAGAAATATGACACAGTACCTGATCCCCAAAGTCATACTTACATAAGCTGCTTGGGGAGACAACACACAATGAAATAACAAGAACATTTTATGAAGCAATCTGTCAGCCACAAAATGGCAAAAGAGCAGATTGAATGCTACAATAAAGAGAGCAGTCATGAGGTGAGGACGGGTTAAAGCACAAGATTGTCAGATTTGGCTTTGAGCCTGGCTTTAAGAGACAGGGATGTAATTGAGATGAGATACAGGGGCAACTGTAACACCTCTATAGAAGAAGAATGTTATATATTCCATATTCTATTTGGAAAATTTGTTTCCTGTTTTTAATCAAGTCTTTAGGTCTCGCTCTTTCTGATTCAATTCTAGCTAAGGAAAGCCCACCTGAGGCTTTGCAAATGTAAGTCTTCAATTAGCAGTTTAAGTACCAAAGGGACTCTGGACAGTTTTTTAAAATGAATAAATTGGAGCACCTGGGTGGCTCAGTCATCGGCTCAGGTCATGATCCTGGGGGCCTGGGATCGAGTCCCACATCGGGCTCCCTGCTCAGCGGGGAGTCTACTTCTCTTTTTCTCTCTCTCTCTCCCTCTGTGTGTGCTTGAAATCTCCTTCTCTCTCGCTCTCACTCTCTCAAATAAATCCTTAAATAAAATAAAATGAATACATTTTAGTAATAAAGCTAAAGAGAGAAAAACACTAATATAATCATACTGTAGTTGTGATAAAATTATACTTGAACTTCATTTGTACAACCCCTTTATGAGATAGCTAGACTAGAAAGCTTAATGTATATATCCTGTAACTATAAATTCTAAAGGCTTTTCAAGATGAGTGATCATGACAAAAAAAAATTCAAATTAGTTTTAGTATTTAAGTTTAGATTCTAATTCAAATTAATTATGATTTTAGAAGATAAAGACCTTTGGGATGCCTGGGTGGTAAGCATCTGCCTTCAGTTCAGGTCATGATCCCAGGGTCCTGGGATCGAGTCCTGCATCGGGCTCCCTGCTCAATGGGGAGTCTGCTTCTCCCTCTGCCTCTGCCTGCAGCTCCCCCTGCTTGTGTGCTCACTCTCACTCTCTCTGACAAAAACTTAAAAAAAAAAAAACAAAGATAATAGAATTATCTTTTCTTCTTTTGTGCATAAATGAATTAATGATGATGCCTCAGTTACCCTATCTGTAAAATGAGGATCAAAAGAGTTCAAATTGTTAGAGACAAAATGACATGTACTTTTAAGTTACTTCACCCAGTGCCTGGCACTAGAAACATGTAAGGAATGCCAGCCATTATGGTTACATCCACACAAGAAGACCAAGAGCAAAGCAAGGGATCTGAGAAGGCGAGGGGGCTGAGCAGAAAGATCAAAGCACCGTGACATTAGTGGCTGCCAGAGCTAATGGCAGAAATTTTGCAGAGGCAAGGAGATCAACACTATCAAATATGGCTAACATGAGGACAAGAACGTGAAAACATTAAAGCAACTTCAGCAGAACTGTCCAGCTGAAGCCACACTAAAAGGAGAAGGGCCAAGAGAATGTGAATAGGCAGCCAAGCTCAACCTTAGAAAATAATGAAAAAAGACCATAAGGAACTATCCCTGTGGGTACTTGTGCCCCTCCTGCCCCTTTTTCTTGTTATCAAGGGATTTTCTGCATTGTTTTTAAAACCCAATTTGAAAGAGCACTGGGTATGTTTAAAAGGAAAAAATTAATGGCAGATATGACCACTTCCTATGAATTTCCTCTTCCTGCAACTGCCAGGGCTATCTCCTGGCCTTACCCCATAATCCTAAGGAGGCCAAAGCGAGTTTTCCCCCTTAGTGGGCTTTCCAGAGTTCACTGGGTACCTCTCTCTAGCACATGTTATTTGGCTGGCTGGCACTCCGTGAACCCAGAGAAGCACCTGGAAAGCAGTCACCCCCAAGACGAGCAGAAACAATTTCACTTCCATAAATGGACAACACTCACTAGTACCTGACTCCAAACATGGTGACCTTGTATTTTTTAGTGAGGTGGATATAGTGTAATTAGTATATACTGCATTAACGTCTTATACATTGATGCATTTCATTCAAGACAGCTGGAAATAATTCTGCACCTTGTAACAATTTGAAATTAAATACTTATTTTGGAAAGATGTATTACAAAGATGCCTCCCCACTTTCAGCAACAGCTTTCTGAACCATATACGGTAAGCTGCTTTGGCATTTCTTTCCAGGTCTGAAATTTGCTAAAATTCAAGGTCATCCAACTATAAAAATTCTAAGGTGAGGACCTCATGCTGAGGAAGAACGTTTTTAAATTCAAAGGCATGACTGCCAGGCCATGTACCAGTCTGTTAAAATGGGAGAAACGAATGTATTTCCAGCTTGTATGACTGGATCTAGTTTTCAGGGAGAAAAATCAAATTGCACACAAACATGTTGCAATGCACATGCAATCACTTTTATTCCAAACTAGTTTTGATAACATTTTAGATATCTGGTTAAAATAGCAAAATCTTTCAATATTTATATATTTGTGTGTATACATATGTGTACATGTATATGTACATACGTATACATGTATACATACATATTTTAAATAATTTTCTCATTATGACTTTGGAGACACTTGGGAGATTTCTATGTACAATATAACTCATTGTCATCAGGATCAGGAAACACGTAGGAATGTTTTTGTTTTAAAAAAAAAAGCTCATCAGAATGTATCAAAACTGGGTTTTTGATCATTTATAAGACTGAATCACTTGTGAAAAAATTATGCCATCACGTGAGCTAGCATACAAGATTAGGAAAACTTTCCTGCTGTGTTTTTTGATATAACTGGTGCTTTTTGGAGGATTAACTGAGGTGCTGTTTCTTTTTGAAAAACTGCCATGTGTCTATCTGGGCATTATCTCCCCATATCTTCCTCTGATTCATGTGTGTTACGCATTATGGGAGAATATATCGAAGGATGTTGACAGGGAAAACAGAAAGTTTACTTTGCATTATATCAATGCTTGCTAACATGGATACAGAATAAACTATATTTCATGACAGAGGTGGGATTATGTAGATTAATCCAACTGTCAGAAGAACTTGCTCTGACGTGGAAACTTTTTTTGAGTAAATACTTATAACATCACTCTGAAAAAATGGTGTTTGTAAATGTGCCATTGAGAACTCCTATAAATTATTGCTAAGATTACTATGGTCATACAGCATTTTTATGC